TCCCAATTGTATATTATTCTTTCTCTTTTGTCTTTAAATACCCATCGGAAGAATTTTTACTAGTAGGGTGAAGAAAAGAGTTTGGGGATGAGAGATGGCCTATGGAGACTCTGGGATTTTGTTTATGTGGGAATAAGAGGGAGGGATGGAGAAATGAAGATGATGGAGAGGTGGCCACCGGTGGACCTGTTTTTTTTTTCTTCAAAAAAGATGAAGTATTTTTTATTTTTTCCAAGTTAATGACACATTTCACAGCGTGACATATACATGTTCTAGAAAACTGGTCAATCACAAAAATGGCGTGTCTTAGACACACTTGGAGAAATGTTTGGTGCGTAAGGTTCCCCTGAAGGAAGGGTGTGTAATAGGGATAAGGCTACAAGCTTGAGGGAAACTATGTATGAAGACTTTCATAAACAAACAGTACCAAGTTGGTACTACATCAATACAATCAAACTGGAACTAGACCTCATACAATTGGAGGGAATCTAAGCTCTCTAGCATAACATCAGTGTCCAAATCCGAAAAAGGCATTACACCAAGTCATAAGATTTTGAATACATCCAGACCAAAAACATACCTCTTATAGACCCTTTGGGGTTGCCCAGTGGTTTGGGCTTGGGACTTCCATGTTGGAGGTCTCAAGTTCAAAACCCCTTGCCAGCGAGGGGTTTGCCTTCTGGGTCGAGCTTGTCGCACCGGGCTTGCCTAGTGCGGGTTACCTCTCCTATGTGGTTTGCGAGCTATTGCATAGAAGCGGAGTTTTTACCCTGTGCGCACCCAAAGGGTAGCGGCTGGTGGTTTCCCTTGTCATAAAAAAACAACAACATACCTATTATAGTCCCACAAGTGGGGTCACATAAGTTGGACCTGTTGTGGGAATAATGGAAAAATATTACTGATTCATCTACAAGATAGCTAGCAACCACCTTCTACCTTATCTGGAAAAAATAATCATTATCCTCCTTAAGCTCCCATCTTGCAGATTGCAATAAAAAGAGAGGGAATGTATTTTTTAGGCCTCTGTATTTTCTTTTTGAATTAGTTATTTTGGCAACTTTTTATACTCCCTGTTTGCGTTACCTTAAAAATTTGTTCCCCCTGCTTTCCTTCGTCCATCCTCCTCCAAAAGAATTAAAGGATACCCTCAAAACTGCTTTTTTGATATAATGATCTGCGTAGATAGCATATTGCATGTATTATCTTTTCTATTGGTTGATAAAGTAAGATAGCATATTGTTTTTATCCTACTGTGTATTTGCTCTAATCTTCTGTATTAGAAATATCATTTGGAAATCTTGCTCTAATGCTGCTATTAATTCAATTTCTGCTTTTATTCACCAGATCAGGAAATCTAAAATGACTTAGTATTGCATATTGGGGTATGGTATGTGACGGCTTTGCTGAAGCAGTTCAAAAGCTCACATTGTTAGAAGAGTTGAGGCTGGCAGGTTGTAAATTTTAGTTTGTGTCTTTTAGGGAATGGAGTTGACGAATATAACATGTCTTCTCATGATAACATGAATGCTGGTTGTTACTTTGGTTTTTGAAGAGATCTACTAGTGGCCATGTTTCTAGCATTAGCCTAATTTTTGAAGTTGTTGGGTGTCTTACGTTATCAGATTATGAACCATTCTTCATGTGTTCACTGAATGAGTATTATCAAGTGTATCATATTGCCTTATCAGTATTAGTATCTCCCATCTAGAAAGAGCAAAATGTGTTTTACCTATTCTACATAACAAAAGTTCGAAGAGCAAGATGCTCTATTATAATAGTACTTCATAGATCCTCAAGTCAAAGTAATTCCACGATTATGTGTCTATGAAAATGTAGAAAAGATACTCCTATTAAATTTTTACGCCCCAGTTTTTTGATATATCAGGTATAGGTGAAGAATAAAATTATAAAAATAATATTTGTTATAGAAACTTGTAAATATTGTTATAGAACATTTCAATGATTTGTTTTGCATCAATTGTGTTGAATATTATAAAAACGAGTGAATTAATAGGACATTTAAATGAAAAAAATGTATTACACCATGTTGTCCTGAAACTCTAGCTCATTTGTTGTTTTTCCCCTTGTTGAGCTCTTTTTTGGAGTGAAGTCTTGTAACCTTGACGTTTTTTTACATAGGTAAAGGACAAAGAGAAAAATAGAACAAAAAGGGAAAATTTGGATGAAATCTTTTCAAGTGAGTATTTATTCAATCCATTACCTAGTAACTTTCAATTTACAGGCAGTTTATGATTTTGATCATTTCCTTCAAACATGTGATTTATTATCTGGAGTCATCCATCTTTATTCATGTGGGAATTTATTTCTGATTTGGTTCTTGATCTCAAGATGCTTCCTGTTCTTTTTTTTACCATCATTTTAGCAAGAGTGGCATCAAGAAGGTTGATGGATATATATGTATACAAAAACTCTGATTCCCTTGAAAATGTAGGGATCTGAGGAATTCTAGCAGGGTATTTAGTCATATACATTTAGCATGTTACACCAATAGGCCAAAAAGCACAAACACTTGTTTCTAACTTCACAAATAGGCTTAGCATTGCCCTCAAAAAATCTTTGTTCTCTTTCAAGCCAAAGTACCAAAATTACATGCTGGAATAGTTGTGTCTTCTTTGTGCACCCAAGGGTATGGTTTAATGGTCATGATGTGATTTAAGAACCATGAGGTCTCCGGTTCAGTTCCCAGCAGAGGCAAAACACACTAGGTAATTTTTTTCCATGTGTCCAAACCTTGGTGGACAAAGTTAATTCGGTTCCTATGCAGGTGGGAGGTAGCCCTGTCGAATTACTCGAGGTGTCTGCAAGCTAGCCTGGTTATAAAAAGCAAAAATAGTTGTCTTCACTGTTTTAGGGTGCATACATGACATTATCTCTGTCTTAAGCTGTCTTTATTAGGATACTATCAACTATGTTCTTTTTTGAGAATGGTTAACTTTACTTCTATATATCCACATGTATACTACATCAAAGTGTAGTCCCTCTTCACAAAAGTTGTCACTTCACAAAAACCTAGTATTTTTTTACAAATATATATCCACCTGTATAATACATCAAAGTGGTAGTCCCCCTTCACAAAAGTTGTCACTTTACAAAAACCTAGTATTCACAAAAGGTGACGACTTCACATGCATCATATTGGAGATGTTTGCTTTTGTATGATCAGAGGCATAAGATTGATGCAAACCGTGATCAGCCACAATGTTTTCCACAATCTGTCATACCTGAGAATTTAGAAATCAAGCATTTAGTTAGCAATTATTTCATATCAGTTAAACATGAACAAGACATAGAAAAGGTCCATAGGTAACACATTATCAAAGGAATCAGTGGTCAATACAACATCGTCAGGGAATCTAGATCTGTATGCTTCATAAAATTTACCCCACCAAACTTACAGAAATGCTTCATGGGGAGAATTAATGGCTGAAACAAACCACAAAATCAAAAATCATTACTTCAAAGCTCGATATTACATCACTTTACTCAATCAAACATCTCTCTCTAATATAGTAAAGGACAATTAATACAGTAAAAACATTCAACACTAGGTAACTACGATGCATCACATCAATGAAAGAGAATGACCTCAATTTATCAACCAAATTTCAACATGATCAACAGTCTACCATATGGTCATATGTAAGAATTACCAAACAAATTAAACATAAGAATTTTGCGACCCTTTAAGGTAAACAACAACCATTACTAAAATCCCTCCTAATTCATTAAGTGATAATTTTTAGCAATTGATTAAAAGAGAAAATTCATTAAAAGAGTTGCTTACCAACACGATTTTGATTAGCCTGAGTTGCATTGGAGAATGCCTCACCAGCCTCTATTAGACATGTAGTCGAGAATTACACGGTCAAGTCTGAAAAAGCACAAGCAAAGAAATCAAGAAGCATGATTAAAAAGAATCAAACAAATGGAAAAAATCACATACAACAAAAATCAAAAGAAAAGTAGACAAGTAGAGATTATCAAGTATATTAATCATCAAAAATGTAAGTTAAAATAACACTGAGGGGTAATAACTTTTGCTATAAAATAAATGAAGATCTATTTTGTAAAAAAACTTACGAGAGTTGAGCCGCCAAACTGTTCATGATTACCAAAAGCAAGCCCTTAATTAACCACGGAAAAGAGGAGGAAAGGAGATTTGGGCAAGAACAATTGGGAAAGACGAAGACTATCAAGAACCAAAATCCCACTTAGATTACACATAGAAGAATGCATATGCATATATATATATATATATATATATATATATATTTAAAGCATGAAAGCCCTTAGCAAAATGTCGTTTGTCTTTTTTACTCTTTTAAAATGGTGTTCACTCTAGACAAAATAATTATTTAATTAATTCATTATATTTATGCTTAATAACTTCCCTACTATCTAGGAATAGTCATTTAATAAACTCTTTAATTATGAGGTAGAACAACTAGTAGATTACCCTTTTATTAAATGACTATTTCTAGATAGTAGGGAAGTTATTAAGCCTAAATATCATGAAATAATTAAATAACTATTTTGTCTAGTGTGAACACTATTTTAAAAGGGTAAAGTAGACAAACGACATTTTGCTAAGGGCTTTCATGCTTTATATATATATATATATATATATTTGGTGTAATCTAAGTGAGATTTTGGTTCTTGAGAGTCTTCGTCTTTCCCAATTGTTCTCGCCCAAATCTCCTTCCTCCTCTTTTCTGTGGTTAACTAAGGGTTTGCTTTTAGTAATCATGACCAGTTCGGCGGCTCAACTCTCGTAAGTTTTTTACATGATAGATCTTCATTTATTTTATAGCAAAAGCTACTAACCCTAAGTTTTATTTTTACTTACGTTTTTAATGATTAATATTCTTTATAATCTCTGCTTGTCTACTTTTCTTTTGATTTTTGTTGTATGTGATTTTTTCCCTTTGTTTGATTATTTTTCATCATGCTTCTTGATTTCTTTGCTTGTGCTTTTTCAGACTTGACCGTGTAATTCTTGATTACATGTCTAGTAGAGGTTTCCATCAGGTTGGTGAGGCATTCTCCAATGCAATTCAGGCTAATCAAAATCGTAATGGTAAGTAGCTCTTTTTAATGAATTTTCTCTTTTAATCAATTGCTAGAAATTATCACTTAATGAATTAGGAGGGATTTTAGTAATGGTTGTTGTTTACCTTAAAGGGTCGTAAAATTCTTATGTTTAATTTGTTTGGTAATTCTTACATATCACCATATGGTTGACTGTTGATCATGTTGAAATTTGGTTGATAAATTGAGGTCATTCTCTTTGATTGATGTGATACATCGTAGTTACCTAGTGTTGGATGTTTTTACTGTATTAACTGTCCTTTACTATATTAGAGAGATATATTTGATTGAGTTAATGTGATGTGATATCGAGCTTTGAAGTAATGATTTTGTGGTTTGTTTCAGCCATTAATTCTCCCCATGAAGCATTTCTGCGAGTTTGGTGGGGTAAATTTTATGAAGCTTACAAATCTAGGTTCCCTGACGATGCTGTATTGACCACTGGTTCCTTTGATAAGGTGTTACCCATGGACCTTTCCTATGCCTTGTTCATGTTTAACTGATATGAAATAATTGCTAACTAAATGCTTTATTTCTAAATTCTCAGGTCTCACAGACTGTGGAAAACATTGTGGCTGATAACAGTTTGCATCAATCTTATGCCTCTGATCATACAAAAACAAACATATCTAATGTGATGTCGTCACCTCTTTTGATGACATCCTCTCCTGTGATGGAATCCATTGGTCCTGATGTTATGGATGCTGAAATTCTAAATTTGTTGTCAACTTATGATACCAATTTTGCATCACTAGATTTGTCTTCTCAAAGAGACATGACATTAGGCTTACAGTTTCCTGAGATAGGTGAAATGGGTGGCATGCTTCCGTTTGCAAGAAATTCTGGGTAATACCATGTTATGTTTATTGCTAAACTGATCATTCTTGCCACATTTTAATACAATGTCTGCGTAGTTACTTCAACAAGTAAAGGTTGAGCGCTTGATGTGATGTGTACTTTGTTCTCCTTAATTGGTATAATATAATTGTCTTAAGCTGCTAAGGCAACAAAAGAAAATTGAACAAAGCCATGTTCTTATTCTTTCTGTGTTGCTCTTAATTATGACCTTCTGAGATATGAAATTTCAAGTGTTCCTTGCAAAACTTGGCTATTAAGAAATGCTCATTAGTCTAGTAATTAGAACCAACTGCTTGGCCTATACTATGCGATAAAATTTTCACATTAACTAGATGGTCCAAACATGTTTTGTATATGAAACCACCATTACTTTGATTGTGGAGTTGGTGTATCAGAATCTTCTAATTTTGTTTGTTGTATGTTCATGTCCATCAGCTGTCAAATGCCAACTGCACCTCCGAAGTGGAATGCAAGAGTGTGTTTACATTTCCTCACACATTTGCAAACTTTTTTAATGAATAATTAGTTGAAAAGATTTGACAAGTTTTTATTCTTTCAGGATGACAGACCTGGCATAGACTTGGGAGGACCTATGCTAATGGAACCAAGTATTCATGCCCCTGCAAACGCTTTGCCTTCTTCACTGGAACTTTATGATTCAGGTCTGTTTGTAATTTAACATTAAATATTTTGCATTTAGTTTGTAAATTTTTGTCTTTTGCTTTGGTCTGTTGACTGTTTGAACATTAATATAGTCTGCAAATACTTTATATATATATTGAAGAGCACTTACTTATAATGTGTAGCACATTATAAATTTCTTTTTTTTTTTAGATTATTGTGCATCTCTGCCATAAACATCAAAATAGTATTTCTGCTTTGCATTTGATTCTCCAACTTAAAGGGATTATCTTTATATACTAAGATAGGGTCTGATTAGATACTGAATATCTTGGTCATTTCCAAATTGAAAAGAAGAATTACATTGTTGAAAGATGCACAAGTAATCAGATTAAGATTGTTTAGTTTTTGCTGATACCTGAACCTGCTAACTAGGATTTGCTGATCTATTTGTAAGCTATCAGTCCCTCCAGAAAAAATCAAACATTCCTCTGTTTTAGTAGGAAACTAATAACAGATGCTCAGCAGCTCTTGATATCAAGATTTTCAACAACTGCTCCTGAATGCATCAATTCTCTTTCCAAATATAGATGTTGATATTTTGAGAAAACTTCTATACTTAGTATATATAGGAAAGAAAGTTATGCGAAGAGAGAAGGATCTCCTATTATCCTTGAAATGACGAAGAGACATGACTAATTTGTTACTTCATGATACACAACCATTTGAATGTGTTCTTGAGTATTTAGCTTTTACCCGTAAAGTAATGGCACATTGGTGGATTTAGGCATCAGGAGAGGTTTGAAGCAATAGACTTACATCTAGAACGGATGATTGAAGCTCTAACACTGATGGTGATAACATTGCAACAATACAATTTGTCCTTGTTGGGTTGTCGAATAAATTGAGTTGAACTCTTAAAGTATACTTTATAGATTATTATGACGGTAAATCCACATTGGGACATAGAAAAGTAAAAAATTGTGATATGGTCCACATCAAGTAATAATGATTCTATTAGGAGGTTTATAATATTGTTTGATAGAAAAGATGAAGCAGATGTAGTGCATGGTCAGTCTCTTAGTTAAACTTCTAAAGATTAAGATTCCTCACGGTCAAATTAGGAAAATTGACCATTTGTGGCTGGAAGTAATCGTTAACAGATGGGATAATTTTTTTTTTTTTTTTTTTATGACAAAGGAAACCCGCAGCCGCTACCCTTTGGATGCGCACAGGGTAAAACCCCCGCTCCTATGCAATAGCTCGCAAACCACATAGGGGAGGTAACCCGCACTAGGCAAGCCTGGTGCGACGAGCTCGACCCAGAAGGCAAACCCCTTGCTTTCGGGTTAGTGATTTGTCTTAGATCTTTTTGGATGAGTTGTTTCCTGGAGCAGAATGTATATGATTGAGGAAGTTTCTTAAATTCAAAATTCAATATTCAATTGAAACGATCCAAGCAGAAACTCATGCCATAAAATCCATCCTTCTCCGTAAAGATATGGCACCTGGGCCTAACTCAATCCCAAAAGCTAGCTCATGAGGGGAGGTTTGTCCAAGTTCATATAAGGAGACCAAATTTGCATCTCTCTATTGATGTGGGACTTCCTAACACTCCCCCGCATGCCCAGACCTCAGCGGAAGCGTGAGCGTGAACACTTATAAATGGGGCCCAACATCGGTGAACAACAAATTGGGATGGGCTTGGCTCTGATACCATGTAGAAATATATGGCACCTAAGCCTAACTCAATCCCAAAAGCTAGCTCATGAGGGGAGATTTGTCCAAGGCCATATGAGGAGACCAAATTCCCATCCTTCTACCAATGTGGGACTTCTTAACACTCTCTTCCAAACAAGCTCAGATAATGAAGCTCATCTTGAAGCCATCATACTCTGTTTAAATGCCTTAGTTCTTAGCCTTGGTCGAGTTCTAGATTTTTATCAAGTATTTTCAGTCAAGGTAACTTATTTCATAGTTTACTCATATGTGAGTGGCCAATAATAATTTAATCTAGGTCCTTCTAATTTCACCAAGGTCCACTTAAAAGCTCAAATTATGTCTACGATTCTACTAGTTGTCAGTTTGGATGTCCAGTTAGGAATTCTTTCTCTTTCCCTTTTAACCATCTTAAAAAGTGAGAAGTTTTTATTTTGGCAATGGTAATTGCATCTGTATCTGAATTAAACCAAAATAGTGCATTGCTTGCTCTGGAACTATATATAAAAGAGTATTCTATGATCTACTGTCTGTGACTAGAGAGAATCTAAAACATCCATGATAGAGACAATATCATTGGAATACAACTTGTTACCACAAAAATATAACGGCAGAACACAATTCAGTTTGACTTTCTCCATACTATTCTCTATACTCTCATAGCATCTAAGGTTCCTCTCCTTCCAAATTGTCCACCAGACACTAGCTGGGACAATTCTCTATCTTTTCCTATACTTTGCCTGTGTACCTGCTTCCTTGCAGCTCAGAAGAACTTCTGTGACTCTCCCAGGCATGGTCCATGAAATTTTCTTAAGATTCAGGAACAATCTCCGTAGCTGATTTATAACCATGCAGCGCAGGAAGAGATGGTTAACTGTCTCAGCAGTTTCACCTTAAAAAAACACCCAGGACAGCTGAATTCCCCTCTTCATTAAATTATCTTGTCTAAGAACTGCTTTTGTGGCCAACAATCACACAGAACAGGCAACCTTAAGAGGTATCTGAACTTCTCAGATGTTCTTTCAAGGCTAGTTTCTTGGCATCTGAATGGGATGATTTAGCTTTCTTATTCAGCACCTACTTTGTAAGCACTGTCTTTACTCTTTAGTACCTTGCCGGATTAGGATGTCTTGTCCAATCTCCAAACCTCCAACTGCTCAATTGTGCTGAAAAAGTCACACACTCTGAATTGTCCACCACATACTAGCTGGGACAATTCTCCATCTTTTCCTATCATTTGCCTGTGTACCTGCTTCCTTCCAGCTCAGAAGAGCTTCTGTGACTCTCCCAGGCATGGACCAAGAGATTTTCTTAAGATTAAGGAACAATCTCCGTAGCTGATTTATAACCATGCAGCGCAGGAAGAGATGGTTAACTGGTTCAACAGTTTCACCTTAAAAGAAACACCCAGGACAGCTGAATTCCCCTCTTCATTAAGTTATCTTGTGTAAGAACTGCTTCTGTAGCCAACAACCACACAAAACAGGCAACCTTAAGAGGTATCTGAACTTTTCAGATGTTCTTTCAAGGCTAGTTTCTTGGATCTGAATGGGATGATTTAGCTTTCTGTAGTCGGCACCTTCTTTAGTACCTTGCCAGATTAGGATGTCTTGTCCAATCTCCATACCTCCAAGGGCTCAATTGTGCTGAAAAAGTCACATACACTCTGAATTTTCCAGTCATTTAGATGTCTTTTAAAAGTAAAATTCCAACTTGAGGGGATCATAACTCTGCAACTGTTATGGGATTGAAGTCCCAACTTAGGGATATCTGGTAATAAAAGTTCCATGATGCCAGCCTCGTGCCATTCATCCTACCAAAAATCAATTCTTCCACCATCTACCACTTTGATCTCAATGTTTGGTTTGAATTCATTCCATAACACTAATGGATCTCTACAGACTCGCACCATAAGGTGTGGTGACCTCTTTAGTTATTCAGTTGTCAGTCTCGTCATATTTGGCTCTGATTACTTTGCTCCGTAAGGTTCTTCCCAAGGTTGGTCCAAAGGGACCTGATGGTCCTCCATAGTCTAACTCTGCAAGTGTCATTGGATTCATCAATGCATTGTCCATTTTGTTCGTATTTCTGCTGTATTATATTCTTTCACAGGGCTGGTCTGTCCTCAACATATCTCCACAACCATTTCTTCAGCAGGCTGCTATTTTGTAGCTTCAACTTTCTAAACCCCATACCTCTATGCTCCTTGCTCTGCTGCACTATGTTCCGTTTCACCAGGTTGAAACCCTTATGCTCCTTGTTGCCATGCAATAGGAATTTTCTTCTTTATTTGTCTAGAACTTTGAGTACTTAGCTGGCATAGCAAAGAGGGGCATCACATAGGTTGGCAATGAATCTAGCACAAAGTTGATTAGAATTAGCCTGCCTCCTAAAGTGTACTGTAGTCACTTTTGAACTAACTACCTAAGTTGCGTCGACTTTGTTGAGGATATAATTAAGTAAATAAAAATGTGCTCTCTCTTACAACTTAAACTTTTAGATGAGATAGTTACATAATTGAGCATAGTATCGAAGCACGCAAAGGTCCTGAGATTGAGTTTCACTGCAACCCATTATCAAAGAGAAATTTTACGTGTTTGGCTCATGAAAAAGAATCGGGCCACAGGTGAGGGGTCGTACTGAGAATATAATTAAGCATATAAAGTGTGCTCTCATTAACAGTTTAAACTTTTAAATGAGATGGTCACACTTCAACAAACTTGAATCTGCCTAAATTGCTTTCTCCTTCTCCAAGTAATTCTAACTTGGAATGCAAGCACAAGGAAGCGACTAATGTTATGAGGGCTTGGGGAATAGGGTTTTTGGAGGAGAGCAAGTTTGTAGGTTTGAATTTTTGAGAACATGTAGTGATCTTAAAATATAGAATAGAAGGTCTTCACTCTTCACACTTACACCTTTGGTTAATTCTCTTTCCCTCAACTCTCATACCTATTCTAGAACTAAAACTTTCAATACGTAAGGCTAAGCGATGGACTTTAAAGTTACTATACTATTATAAGAAGTATATTAAATAGCCAACTTTAGGTTGATTCAATCAATGTGTCGTGGTGTAACTATTATTAAATACAAGTTTATGGAACATGGTGTTACTTTGTTTTTCGAGAAAATAAGGAGCACAGTGTTACTCTAGAATGATAAATTAGTAACGTGTCACTTAGAATGACTTATTGATGAGTCATGGGCTACCTTGATAGGAGTACTACCTAGACTATATGTGGTAATATCTTAATTATTTTCGATATATTTCTAACCAACCTAAGATTTCAAATTGAGTTTCTTAATTTTTTTTTTTTTTTTTTTA